TTTTGGTAATAATAGAATGCTGTCAAGAGAATTGGTAAATTAAGACTGATATGCAGCCACCACTTAGCTACAGGTAGTTCTTGTTTAGTGACTGCCTCTTTTAGTGACCTTGTGCAGTTAACAGGGGCAATGACTTTATGTATCTTTTAAGTAAAATATCAAATTTATGATCTTTTCAGAACAGTAAAGTAAAGGTAAAATGAAATAAGGTTGTATAGTTTCGTCCAAATTTTGATCACCAAATGAGGATTATCTATTCTGCTATTTGCTTACTGATGGAAAGGGAAACACAAATTTTCTGTTGTGGGTGAAACCTAATACAAGTTATCCTTGACTTATGATCTTAATTTAGCCCAGAATTTATGTGGCTAAGGGAGACATTTGATAAGTGAGTTTTGCCCCATTTTCTTGCACACTTGTTAAGGGAAGCACTGCAGTTGTTAAATTAGTAACATGATTGAAACTGGCTTCCCCATTGATTTTGCTTGTCAGAAGGTTGCAGAAGGGGAACACATGATCCCGGGATATTGCAACCACCATAAACATGAGTCAGTTGCCATGGAGATGCTGCAATGTTCATAAGTGTGAAAAACAGTTGTAAGTCATTTTTCCAGTGCCATTATAATTTCCAATAGTGACTAAATGGACTGCTGTAGGTCTATGACTGCCTGTACGCATTTCTTTGTACCACACAGCAGGCATAATATGCAAAATATGTTTTCTAATTTCCTTTTCTAGGTCAGGTGTTTTACCATTTTAATAAAATTTTTAGTATCGGGTTTAAAAGATGGCAAGATTAACAGCAGTAAATATAAAAGAGATTTGGGAACTAAATTAACATAAGCTCTGTTTGTTTATTTTATCCAGGTAATATAGTTTAAATTATAAATATTGAATGTTCAGTTTTAATAAAAATGAGTCCCCAGTATGACACTAAGACTTCCAATGTACCCATAGACACCTTTGTTGGAACTGCAAACTTCTTGATAAGCATTTTTACCATTGCAATGGTAAATATATCCAGTGTGTCCAGTGTAGCAAAACCTACTACTTTACTTAAACAACATACGTTTGTATTTGCAAAAGGGCCTGTGCTGTTCCATATAGCAGGGACCTTACCATAATACTATTTCCATAGTAGATCGCTTTCCTTTTGGTGCCATCTTCAGATGACCAAATCTGGTACTTGGAATTATTGTGAAATAATTCATTATTTTCCCTTTTTATATTTAATGATATAATGAACTTGTATTTTTGTCTGCTAATTAGGCATTTAGTCCACATGATTGAACAGGCACAGAAAGAGCTGCAAAGTTTAAGGTAAGAGCTGCTTTTGCTTTCAATCAGAAGAAATAAGGTTGTGGAGTTTGTTTGCATCATTTTTATCCTTATTGGTAAATTAGTTTAAGTTGAGCGAAATTTTTCTTGGCTACAGATTCCACCAGACTTCCATTTATATAAGGAATACATATTTATATGAAAACAATTTATTTACTTATTTTCTATAGCTGTGTGGAGGGATTTTGCCCATATTACCCTAGTGACTTTGGGCAGTAAAACAATTAAAAATACAAAAATGTACACAACATCTGACAAAATTGTCATAGTAGTTATCAGTATAATCAAGAAACAGCACCCGTAACACATTATGAGTCCTGGGGTGGGCAGGTAGTAGGTTTTTTAAAAAAACAAACTGATTCAGGGCCATTCTGGCTTTGAAGGAAGGATCTTCCAAAGGACAGGAACCAGAGCAGACAAAGCATGTCTTCTGGTCCCTGCTAGCCATCATTTCCTGGCTGGTAGGATTCATAGCATTGCCTAACCTGCTGGATGGATGGATAGAAACTACAGTAGAACCTTTGGTCACGATTCACTTTTTTTCCTTGGCTGATTTCTCCTTCGGATGCACTACCCATGGATGCAATATCCATTTTGTTCCACCAGAGGTCATCCATGAACACTATCAATAAAGTGTCAGTCCTAAACCCTATCCTGAATCCTGACTGAAAAAGGTTCAGATAATCATCTTCATCCATAGTCCCTTGAAGTTGTCATGCGACCACTCTCCACAACCTTCCATAAAAAGGGAAGATTGGAAACTGGATGAAATACGTCCATATTACTTGGATTCAGTGAAGGCCTCTTGAGGGGACACACCCAATGTTCCCTCTAATTTTTTTTCAGTGTGAGCAGAAAAGTATAGAGTTTGAGCGGCATATTTTCAT